AAGACCTTTACAGCTCATCTGTTTAGTGTTAACCCTAAATAATGGCCCTAGAATTACTCCTCTCATTATTGCATGAGTGATGATAGTTAATATGTGTTACCTGATTACTGTTTACTTAGGAACGTGAATGCTAGGTGTGCATGTACTGTATGTGCATGTGCTCTGAGCTGATCACTTACAGGTTCATTCCAAAGGGGGGGATTGGTGAATAGATTTCCATTGTCCTCTTTTCCTGGCCATATTGAACTCCTTTCCGGATAGAGGGGGTGCACAGCGCCATCCTATATAAATAATCAGATGGCCTTACATCTACCCAGATAACTTCTATATTCCAGCCAAGGCTGGCTGTACAAATATTATTACTTTTATTTTTTATTATTATTTTTTTTTTATGAAATCACTAGAGATGAGCGAATTATTCAAAAATTCGGTTCGGCTGATTCGCCGAATTCGCCGAATAAATTCGCTTCGAGCCGAATATATTCGCTGCGAATTTAACTTATAAAAAGGGTGTTTCTAGGCTTCAGAGAGCCTTTATATTAGTGCAGAACACTGTACCTTTAATTTAAATGCCCTTGGAGTCTGCTGGGGAAGAGAAATAATACTGTCAGTCAGTATGACATGCAGATGAGTGCCGTCGATCTTAGAATCACCGCACACTTCACTCATTTGGGCAGTCACGGGGCCAAAACCAGAGTGTGGAGCCACAGTGTGGCGGTGGAGGCAGCAGCAATGGGAGGCCATACAGCACCCTATGACAAAATGGAACCCACCAGCAGTGTGAGGAGACCTGAAAGTGGCACATGGCAGAGTGTGGCGATGGAGACAGCAGCAATGGGAGGCCGTACAGGGACCCATGACACACTCTGGACCTGGCAGCAGCATGAGGAGGCGGTACAGGGGCCCATGACAGATTACAGGCCTGGCAGCAGCATGAGGAGTCGGTACGGGGGCCCATGGCAGATTACGGGCCTGGCAGCAGCATGAGGAGGCGGTACAGGGGCCCATGGCAGAGTGGCGGAGCGTAAGCAGCTAAAATTGAAGGCCATACAGAGGCCTATGTTAAAAAGTCCCCCCAGCAGCAGCGTGGGGAGACGACTATCAAGAGTCCAATGGCAGAGTGGCGGAGCAGAAGCAGCTTCAATTGAAGGCCATACACAGGCCTAGGTTTAAAAGTCCCTCACAGTTAATTCCAATAACGAACTCTACTCCTCTGTGCAATCTACTTACGAGACCCTGGGCAGGTCTGGGTCCAATTTGTGGTAGAGACTGGTTTTGTTCAGCCATGCTTGAGCAAGTAATAACAGGTCTGTGCTGCCCTTTGGTGTCTGGCTTAATGCGCACAACACTGAACGTCCCAGCGTTTGTCAACGATTTGCCGTTAAGTGATGCAAACCCGCTGAACCACGTTCATGAGGAGCCGGTACAGGGGGCCAAAAAATATTACCGCCAGCCGGCGTGTAAATGGATCTAACTCTTTGAACGTACAATAGTGGTTGTGAAGCAGAAAGTCAGTTTATTTAGCACAATCGGTCAATTGCAGCTTGCCGTTGGCTGGAAACTGTACGTTTGTGTCACTGGAATGCACTAATCACCCAAAAAATATTACCGCCACCCGGTGTGTAAATGGATCTAACTCTTTGAACGTACAATAGTGGTTGTGAAGCAGAAAGTCAGTTTATTTAGCACAATCAGTCAATTGCAGCTTGCCGTTGGCTGGAAACTGTAACGTTTATGTCACTGGAATGCACTAATCACCCAAAAAATATTACCGCCACCCGGCGTGTAAATGGATCTAACTCTTTGAACGTACAATAGTGGTTGTGAAGCAGAAAGTCAGTTTATTGTACACAATCGGTCAATTGCAGCTTGCCGTTGGCTGGAAACTGTACGTTTGTGTCACTGGAATGCACTAATCACCCAAAAAATATTACCGCCAGCCGGCGTGTAAATGGATTTAACTCTTTGAACGTACAATAGTGGTTGTGAAGCAGAAAGTCAGTTTATTTTGCACAATCGGCAAACTGCAGCACCAACTGTGCACGACAGCCACCAAAAAAAAAAAGGGTGTATGTCACTTTAAATTTTCAATTCTTTGATAGCTGTGGCCCTAAGTAACGATTCTGTGTCCCTGAGTAACGATTCTGTGTCCCTGAGTAACGATTCTGTGTCCCTGAGTAACGATTCTGTGGCCCTGAGTAACGATCTGTGGCCCTAAAGTCTCTGTGGCCCTAACTCTGTCCCTTAATACACACAGGTCTGTCTCTCTTGAATGACCGTAGGCTAATGGAGAATTCTAAGATGGCCGCGATTTATAGCTCCACCATTACACAGTGCTGGCTGGCTGCTGATTGGCTAATGCGATCACATGTCATGAATGCATTATGGGTCAGTGCGCCTTGTCTGCGCGCCTTCCCAGAGATCCCCGCCCCATCTTCTCTGTCCATTTTCTCCGTCGCCACACATGTCGCCGCCATTTTTGGGAAAATTCGATTCGTGCATCCGAAGTTTGCTAATCTTCGGATTCGTCGCGAATCGAATTTTTCCAAATCTTCGGAACGAATTCCACTTCGTCATGTTCGATTCGCTCATCTCTAGAAATCACCATTAAGGCTTGTACACTAGCAGAAAAAAAGCTTTTGGTGTATATTTTGTTAGCCTATAAATGTTCATATGCGTTATGTGACATTATAGTTCTGGCTTGTAGAGTACATTAACACCAAAGCACAGCTTTTACCATGTATTTATATTGTATTTTTTTTCCTGCCAGGAGAAGAGACATTTAGAGGAGCTGAGCCAACACTCAGTGTGCATGAGGCCTAATTATTGCAACTTACTGAATTACTCCATGCAGCGCTTATTGAAAATCCACTAATGTATCTTACATGACCCCAAATGAAACCAGCGTGCCTTTGTCCAACAGCTGAATATTATATAGATAATGCATTAGTTAAAAAGTATCACTGAACCCACCTTTCATAATTGAGTTGTATTTATTTATTATTGTCCTTTAAGTCCTGAACCTGTAAAGGTTGTGGCAGCAGGTAAACAGGTTATATGGCAATTACTCATTATTTAATATGATCTTCAATTATGAAACAACCAATGAAAATTTAGCCACCACTAGTATCTACAAACATGATATTTACTGAAAAATCTGCAACCCATAGAAACCAATCAGAAATGACCTTTCTTAATATGTCCTCTTCAGTTCATGTGATAACCCTGAGTAAATTATTTCCTTGATTTAATTACAGAAAGCTAGGGCATTGTATGTAATAAATTGTTGTAAGATATGATATTCAATCTATTAAAAAAGTGATAAAACAGAAATGTAAAATCTGTCTTTTGCAGTCAGTTTAATTGTAGTCATTGCTCATGCTTTTACATTTAGGTCACAACCCAAGTTCCATATTAAAAACTTTAATTTTTGCCTCATTGATCATGTGCTCATGGAGAAAATTAAATTATTTCTCATTGTGGAACACTTGCATCTTCATACAAAATGGCAGACACATTGACATGTGAAATTGAGAAAGGCAGCAACTGTGTAAACCTTCCACACAGTGTGAAATCGCCATATATTATCTTTTTGTTTTAACTATGTGACACAGTGCAAAACTTGACAGTATAATGAACAAAGCAATTAGTAGGGAAATTGAAGATGCAAAATATTCATTTGAGGTAGCTCTCCAGCTGTTTGCTTATTCTTTTCCTTCCCTGTGGATGTGGTAGCTTGTATTTATAATCACATATGTTCATAGACAGCGTTTGTGCGACTGAAATGTAACTAACATGCATGAACAAGCACACTGTATCATAATGTAACATTATATTGCATAGTAATAAAAAACAACCCATATGTGTAAAATTAGGAAGCCAGAAACATTCAGAGAAAAGGAAAATATTACCTATTTTTAAATCCTAGATTGTAAGCTCCAAGGAGCAGGGCCCTCCTATCCCTCTTGTATTGAACTGTATTATTGCTGTATTGTCTCCAGCTATATTGTAAAACGCTGAGCAAACTGTTGGTGCTATATAAATCCTGTATAATAATAATAATAATAAATCTATTTAACTTTAGAGAAACCTTATTCCAATGCAAAGCTCTATTTATTAACATATGTGTAGAATGCCAGAGTCTGTTTTGAAGAAGCAATTTTTAAAGCAGTATTTGTGTAAAAGTACCATTTAGGTCAAGTTTGTGGCTGGGCCTTGTTTCCAAAGCTACTTGCATTGAGTCCCAGCATGCCTAGCCTACAGTCTAAGCAATCTGATAAGGGGAAATCACTGCTGTTATAGCGCATTGACTTGTGTGCAAATTTCAACTTGAGCTATTCTGTTTGGTAAACAATGGGCTTCTTTCAGTAAAGTTGATAGGTATACATATCTATATAAAAAAAGTAGAACAGGGTTCTATGTGCAGACCTAGAAGCTTAGAAGAAGACACACCATACTTACATGCAATTTTCCATATTTACCTGACTTACAAAATGGAAATATTTTTTTTTTTAACCTTGAACAATCATGTTAATAAATACATAAAGAAAGATAAACTATAAAAATCCACTCTGCACTCTCTTTAAGGGGTTTTGATCATGGTGTGGATGCACCACAGATTTGATCACTTGGCTAAAAACAACTTGCATTATTGACATAAGGCATGACAGATGCATGAACTTACAGATCTAATCTGTGGGAGTTCAGAACCTAAAACTTCTGACTTGTAATCATAAAAGCAATTCACTGCTTCAGCTGTTCTCCACTGTGGCAAGGTATTTGAGGAAAGCTGAAGCTTACATTATACCCATCAATCATCAATCTTTTGAGTGAACGATTGCCAAGAAAGAAATACTCTAGGTAGCCACTTGTGAAGTAAGCAGGGCTGTAACACAATATTTGTTTACTGAGATGTCTACACCATTTAATCTCTACTGTATTGTATATTAACAGTGTACTTCTTCAAATATCTAAAGAAAACATTACATCTTTTTTTACAGGTATTCAATTGATCGTAATACAGATTTGGGAGAGATATTTCAACATTGATGCCAACAATGGAGTTATTACAATTGCAAAACCTTTAGACAGAGAGACCAATGCTGTTCATAACATCACTGTACTAGCAATGGAGAGCAGTAAGTGAATATTCCTAACTTTATGTCTAAACTCCAGCCTTACCTTCAATTGTGCACAGTTGTAAAGACTTCTCTTTTGTACTGAAATTGCTTACACTGGTATAAGCTTTTCACAGAGTACATCAGAAGTTTGCAGCAAGTCAGATGATACTTGCCTCATTTCCTGGCTGATGGACATCCAGCTTCCCTTCATCCCATTGGGCCCCAGGATTATTGTCCCTGCCCACCTCCTTTCTGTAACCCACTCCTCAAGATTGACGTCCACCCATAAAGGCATTTTGATATTTGAATAATTCTTCCCAAAAGCCACCACACTGCTTTATTGAGGACTGAGGGCTCTTAGGAGGAGTACTGATGCAGGTTGCTGTGATGTTTTCATATACTGCACCATCTTGACTTCTCCTACCAGCAGTAATCTGTGTGTATTGTATAGAGAAGCATAGAGGCCCATTAATACTTTATAAGGTATGTAATGAAAGTGGAAAGGTTTAATTTTAAAATTGTATAGCTTTACTAATCTCATGGAATTAATGGTTTCCTTAAACAGTTACATTCAAGGCATGCCATACATGATAACTGTCTCATTTGCTTTCAACTGAATTGTCAAGCAATTCAATGATTGGTGGCTTAACAGTTTACATGTGCAACACCATGGCATCTGCACATCAAACAGAGGCTAAGATGGCATCTTCCTTGGCTGTAAAGATAGGAGGGTTTGAAGTAGTTCCACTTTAACATCATATTGATGAGGAGGGAGGAAAAGGAGGAACCAAACAAGGGAAAATATAAGTAGATTATCCTTTAGCTTTAACTACACTACCAATCAGTTTTTTAATTACCTGTTTTATATTGCTTAAAGTGACCTTGTTGCAATAAGCAAGAAAAACAAAAAAAGAATTAGATAAATACTATATTTCCCCACTGCCTGTACTGCTGGACTCCACTCTTATCTTTGGAAATCCTTTGCTAAAGTCTGCAGGCAAACCACCATTCAATCTCTTGGGTTCCTTGCAGGTCCTCATGCTGACCGCTACATCACTGAAGAGTCCTGTAATGACAATGAAGTTGCTATGTGTATAATAAAGATATTTTCTAAGGAATTTACCCTTTTTGCACAGATTATAGGGTTCCAGTAGTCAACATGTTTTTTGTTTAATAGAATCCTGGAAGTGTATATATTTTACAGGTATGTCTTGCTTCAGTGACTCTTATAGTTATAAATTTAGCTTTTTCCTTAGAATTGCAAGCCTATTTATGCACACATAATAGTAAAACAAATTTAGCACTGCTTGTTATCAGTCTTGACTCATAGATTTCAGCAGAGAACAACTATTTTATACAATTCTTCAAAAACAAAAAAAATTACTAATAAGGAACATCCTTTCCTTTAGAAAGCTTCTCTGTGACCCATATCACTTCAATTTCTCAGAACCAGGTTCAAGGGATAAAATGTGTAAATCCTATTTTCTCTATGACAGGTCTGCTGCAAGTTGTTAAAACAAACTGAGAGATTTGCCATACATCCACTGCCTCTACTTAAAGTGTCTGATAGCCTGTTGTAAACAGAACACATTCCTATTGATTTTACACATGATCAAATTTGAACTATATCGCACTGGTATCGCACTTAGAATTTTGTTTCCATTTCATTATTCTTCTGCCTTTATTTTCAACTACTTTCAATTGATCTGACATAACTATAGAAACTGCATTTTATTTTTAAAAAAAAATGCATCTCTTATTTTCTGCAATTTTAGTTGATGCCTAAATCTTTAACTATTTTTTCCATGTGACTTTTTTGTTTTCATCCAAGCTACAACACCCTCTTACATGTGCAAAGTGTAATTTAGAGTAAACATGAAGACAAAAGATATACAAAAATATTTGGAACATAAATATATTACTTTTTTTGGAAGTTGAAGCTGCAGTAAAGAAACAAGATGGCATTACAGCAACCACATTTGTGGATACAGATGGAAGTGCTGGGCAAATAGGACAGAGTAGCAGCTGGAAGTAGAAACATATATTAAAATGGATGATATTCTTGAGATTTAGTTAATAATTCAAAATGCCACACAAAACACCAATTTGGAAATAATTTAATTTTGGTTATACATGTAGCAACTATACAAGCAACATCTACAAATGCTAATTTAAAGCCAAACTCTTCTAAGAAAAATATAAAAAAAACACAAATTAGCACAGATCTGTATTCATCAATGTATCATTAAATGTATTTTAATGCAAGTTGTGCAAGTACCTGAATATGACATGGTATCAGCCTCTTGTATTCCCTTAATAACAGATCTTGACCCTGAGAGGAAGCCGCACATGAAGTCAATCAGTTTCTTGTGATGACATGGAACATATTGATAGGAGGAGAAAGCAGAGCAAATGAGACATGAGCTTGTTACTTCTGCTTTCACTCTCCAGTCTCAGACTTTAGTAGGTCCATGCTAGACTGAACCTAGAGGAAGTTGTTTGAATTGTTCTAGCTGTCAGACATGTCTAGTGGCAGAAAAGAAGTGCTGTGGGGGAGAGTTCTGGATTAAAAGTGAATATTTCCAGAAAGGGTTCTACTTTTATCAGGCTATTATTGCTTTAATATTCTAACTGTCTAGACCAGCAACTAGTTTTGAAGTAGATACTATACTTCTCCTGGTAAGGATCTATAGAGTAGCACATGCATTTAATAAATAAAGATCGTAAGACAAAATTGTATAGAGTATCTCAACAGACAAAAGGAAAATTTTACCAAATTATTATTATACAGGATTTATATAGCGCCAACAGTTTGCTCAGCGCTTTACAATATAATGGGAAACAATACAGCACACAACAATACAGTTCAATACAAGAGGGATAGGAGGGCCCTGCTCCTTGGATTTTATAAACTATTATTATCCTTGTTTTAAAATACAGTGGACCTCTAAAGTTCCACAAGAGATATATTATCCACTCAAGGTGAGTGGCCCATCACAGGCTCTGTGGTGAAATCGCCAGATACTGATCCGAATCGTTGCACTCCGGCAAATTAGTCAGAAAAGGAAAACAATCATCACACTCTGGGCAATGTTTCTTGCTTATTAACAAGCAGCAGGGGTCACCTCGGAATTGTATTTTGTCCAGAGTGTGGTGATTCTTTTTCTTTTCTGATAGAGTGGACCATTTAAGTTTGCTAAATAATTAGTTATTATTCATTGTTACTGTAGAGGTATAATGGGGTTGATTTACTACAAAAATAGAGACTGTTCACTTAACAAAATGAATACTTATGAAGCTTAAGTTGGGTATACACGTATCAAATATCATTTGTTTCAGCAGGAGCTGGCCAAATTTCGGTATGTGTGTACCGCTGTCTGTTCAACAGAAGGCGGTCTAACAAACAGTCATGTGATCAGTGCTTGCAACAAATGGCTGCAGCTCTGATCTGTGTATTCTGGCGGGGGGGGGGATGGAGTACCCCTTTCAGAATACATGAGAACAGTGGGAGAGATCCCTGCATCAACATTGCTTGTGTTGCAGCAACCCGCTAGATGAAGGAAAATAAAAACCTCAAAGTGTATACCCTGCTATAGTAACTAAGGTAAAGAATCCAATCATGTTCCAACAAAAATACTGTGTTTTTAATTTCCTTTGCTGATGATTGGATATTCAAAGTGAACACAGGTTTATCTTATTTACTAACATGCACATTGTAAATTGATCATTTACTTTGCTAAGTGAACAGCCTCATGGCATGTCTTTATTAATTCATACTCACTGTCCTGGAGGATTGCAATCTGAAAGACCAACAGTTAAAAAACATCTACAGCTTTTCAACATGTGTAGCATAGTTTATTGAGGTAGCACTCATTTAAATGCATTATTTGCTTTTAATTTCTTTGTAGACTAGAGGGATTTCATTTAACAGTCTTTATTGGGACCACAACCTGACCATGCAGGATTCACCAAGATAGTGCTGCAGTGCCTTACAACAGAAGGGTTTTTTTGCAAATGTATTTCACATTTGTTACAAAATGCAAGAACGTGTGGTTGGCGTAAACAGGCCCTTACAATATGTAGTAATACATTGCAGTAATTGATGTAAAGGCTGGTGATAACTGTAATTGTAGCAGGTACTTCCACTACACTCAGACCTGTTACCTGTAGGGATGAGGTTTGTGGCAAATCCACAGAATTTCTAAAGTTCACGAGTCTCAAGATTTTGGTAGGTTCACTACCAGAAATAAGGAATAACCAATAATTCCATTTGAATTCCATTTGAGTAAATCATTTGAAGAAATTGATACCCCAAACCCTTTTTATATAAATTGGTGGGTTCACAGCATGTGTTGGAGCTGCTAGGAAAAACAAAGAGGAAGGAAGAGATGCTGTTTGTTACTTCAATCTATTTATTTTGCTTTCTTTAATCTTTATTATTTTTTATAATTATTTTTGGACATGTCCTCCATTAATATATACTGCTACAGGGTGGCAGGGGTGCACAAAAATATATATATATATATATATATATATATATATATATACAGGATTTTGTATTTCTAGGTAAGAGGCATGCGCAAGCCGAGTGTGCACCCTACCTGCGACTCCATTCTCAGCCACGGCTGTCAGTTACCGGGTCCTGGCCGGTGATTACCGAGGATCTCCGATGGGGAGGAGGGCTGCTTTGTTTACTAACAGTCCTCCTCCCTGTTGGCTTGGGCACACTGTGTGCTTACAGTGAAGCACCAATACACCACCCCCCAGTAAAACACTCCCAGCACACAGTTAACCCTTTGATTGCCCCTCATGTTAACCCCTTCCTTCCCAGTGCCATTAGTACAGTGTCAGTGCTTTTTTGTTAACACTGATCATTGTTTGGTGTCACTGGGGATGTCAGTGACACCAAGTCAGCTCCCCCCAGTGTCAGAATTCCCACTGAAGTTCTGCTATAAGTCGCTGATTGCCGCCATTACTAGTAAGAAAAAAAATTCCAGTATATATACCACCATTTGAAAACGCTATAACTTTCAGGTAAACCAATTAATTTACACTTATCTGGATTTTTTTAGCAAAGACATTTAGCAGAATACATTTTGGCCTAAATTTACAACTAAATTTTATTTCTTAAATCTTTTTTACTGGATATGTTTAATAGCAAAAAATATATTGCTTTTTTTTTTTCAAAATTGTTGGTCTTTTTTTTTTTTTATAGAGCAAAAAATAAAAAAACGAACAGGTAATCAAATACCACTAAAAGAAAGCTCAATTCATGGGCAATAAAAGGATGTAAATTTAATTTGGGTGCAGCGTTGCTTGACCGCACAATTGTTAGTTAAATTAACGCAGCGCTGTAACTTAAAAAATGGCCTGATCAGGAAGGGGGGGGGGGTAAATCCTCAGGCGGGCAAGTGGTTAAATTAGAGTTGAATAATAAGCTTTTCCTCCAGTAGACTTCACGGGGTTGAACATTTGTAAATTTCAAGACTTGCAAAGCTGTTAGCGAAAAACCCAGACAGATTAATTTTATCCCTAGTTACTACTTGTAGTGGAGTAATAGGCAATGATTACAATCTGGCATTTTTTGCACTGGTCAGACAACTGCTGCTGTAGTACTAAAAACAGAAGATTACTAAAGCTGGTTGTCTGTTCAGAATAACTGTCTTGCAAATGTCATGCACGCCATTTAGTATGATCATGTATTTCCTTGGTTATGTGCAAAATCCTTTCATAATATTTTTAATTTAATGATGTTTTTACTGCTAAGAAACATGTTTTTTGGTTTATTGTGTTTCAGTGAATCATGATAAAATATGTATACAATGCTTTTGCAAAGTTATCAAAAGACAGTTTGTCAGCTTAATTTTTTCTTTATTATTTTCCAGAAAACCCAGCACAGATTGGAAAAGGCTATGTTTCTGTTAGCATACTAGATATTAATGACAATGCTCCTGAGTTTGCCATGGAATATGAGGCAAATGTTTGTGAAAATGCTTCTCCAGGACAAGTAAGTATTTATGAAGTGTTTTGTATCACCTTCGCCATCATTGCTCAGGCTGCTTAGTGACTGAGGGTGAAACAAATGTTCATGCCTGAACACAATTGTGCAACTTTGACATACATCAGTAATTGCAACTACTTGTGTATCCAGTTGGATTATACATTGTTTACTTTAGGGCCAATTGGGCTTTTATTTGATGGTAAATAACATATTTTGTTTTTTTTTATCCTACCTAAAACACACTGACAATGACACTAACTGACAATGTTACTAATGTAAAAATTTTTTTTTTTTAAATCCTACCAAAAATATACTAACCCTGACTCTTTACCGCTACCTTTGACCATGACCCTTGACCCTCACCTTTGACCTTTAACTCTGACTTTGACTCCTAGTCTTCATGTACACTGTGCATTTTAAAAATGCCAGTAGCGTTAGCTGTATAAAGTCACATTAAAAGTGCAGGTTTTTCTGAATTGTTAGTGTTTTTGTGTTAGTGTTTAGCCGTGTTTTTCCGCATTTGTGGTTTTTACCATATTTTAGCATTTTTTACAAAAAATAAAGTAAACTTTTTGCTCAAAAACAACGCCCAAAAATGCTGGTTTGCAAACGTTAGAGCGTGTTTGCAGCTGAAAAACTCTTCTAGAAACTCACTAGTTCTGGGTTCTTTTGCCAGCCAAAAAATACCCCTGCCAAAAAATTAAAGCCTATGTGTGGGGAGTTCACTGGCTGTAGAAAAAAAGCCAAAAACAGCAGCTGTAAAAATGTCCAGTGTGCATGAGGACTAAAACTAACCCGGACACTGACCTAGATCAAACCTCTTTTTGTTTATAACTTTCCCCCCTGCAAGAAGAGAAAGAAACAATGTACAGTTAGGTCCATATACAGGGTGCAGCAACATAACTTCCTTTTTTGAAATGCGTGCCATTCAGGCTGTAGCAGCCATAGCGGGGCGGGAATGGTCTCAGGCGACAGGCGTAGTTCTAAAGTTTTCTAGACTGGAAATCAATTGTTACATGGGTCACTACGTTCAGACAAACCACGAGTACGACAAGATGAAGAGCTGGAGTCCCTCGACTCATCAGATCACCTGAGAACATCAAAGCAGTGAGAGCTTCAATCTTGCGATCCCCACAGCGTTCTGCACGCAAACATGCGTCTGCCCTTGGACTTTCGGATCATTCAGTGAGGCGAATTCTTCACGATGACCTTCATTACCATCCGTACAAGTTGGCGATTCTGCAGGAACTCTCTGAACGCGACTTCAATTCTCGGAGGAACGCATGTGAGGCAGTACTCGAAAATGTCCCTGAGGACGCAATTGTTTTTTACAGTGATGAAGCCCATTTTCACTTGACTGAATGCGTCAACAAACAGAACATGCAAGACCTGAAGGCCAACATCCGCGCAGAAATTGCCAACATACCCGCTGCTATGCTGGTAAGGGTCATGAAAAACGTCAGAAATCGGCTTATTCGGTGTATGGACAATGGGGGGCGTCACCTACTTGATATGATTTTCAAAACTGTGTAAAACAGAACTTTATATATGTACCTACATTATTAAAGACAATAAAAACAATTCTGATTCATAAAATGGGTTTTATTGCGTTTTGAAAACAGGAAGCTATGTTGCCGCAACCTGTATATTTGGACACAGGCACAATTTTAGATTTTTTCAGGTATTTGCACACTCTCAGGTTTAATTTGAGGGTATGTACATCCAAATTGGATGAAGGGTTTAGGAATTACAGCTCTTAAGAGTAGCCATCTCCCATTTTTCAAGGAACCAAAAGTAATTGGACAGTTGAATCAAAAGCTGTTTCATGGCCAGGAGGGGATACTCCTTCGTTATTTCTTCATAAATTAAGCAGGTAAAAGGTCTGCAGTTGATTCTAAGTGTGGTATTTGCAATCTATTGCTGTGAACCTACATCATGCGTTAAAAGGAGCTGTCCATGCAAGTGAAACAAGCCATTGTAAGGCTTCAAAAACTAAAGCAAATCCATCAGAGAGATAGCAGCAACATTAGAAGTGGCCAAATCAACAGTTTGGTACATTCTGAGGAAAGAAGAACGCACTGGTGAGCTAAACAACATAAAAAGACATGGACGTCCACAGAAGACAACAGTGGTGGATTATTGCAGGATCCTCTCTATGGTAAAGAAAAACCCATTCACAACATCCAGACAAGTGACGGACACTCTCCAGGAGGTAGACGAATCAATGTCAAAGTCTACAGTCAAGAGAAGACTTCACGAGAGCCATGGGTTCCAGGCTTCAGGCTGTCATTGCTAGTAAAGGATTCTCAAAAAATATTAAAAGTGAACATTTTATTTATGATTATAGTAATTTGTCCAATTAAATTTGAGCCCCTGAAAATGGAGGGACTGTGTATAAAAATAGTTGCAGTTCCTAAAATTTTGTACTTGATATTTATGTTGAATTAAAGCTGAAAGTCCGCACTTCAAATTTATTTGGATTGTTTGTTTGTTTTAATTTATTCTGGTGGCATACAGAGACAAAATTATGAAAATTGTGCCTGTGTCCACATATATATGGACCTAACTGTATCTTTCTCTCCATTCAGAACAGAAAGAAAACACATGGGCAGACTGTACAGTGACTGATCAATGTGATAGCCAATCAGAGGATATCACAGCAATCAGGTGACCGGGAACTGGGAGTACTGGGTCCCGATCATTACTGAGGTAGAGCCCAGTCCCTGTGTAGATTGTGGGGTGCACTCCCAGCACAAAGACAGGGTAAAGCTTTACTTCCATGAGGCCCCGTATGAGCTTACTGTCAGTGGGAAGGGACTAATCCTGTGTGGATTGCTAGAGAGATAAGCTGAGAAGAATGACCCAGAACAGACTTCTGGTTTCATCAAGAGTTTTTTAAGGACGTATTAAAGAACAATCAAATTTGTCTTACCTCCCAAGTTTGAAACAGGACTAAAAGTACATTTAAAAATATTTTTAGCTTTGTCTGAACAAATATGAAACATAAATAAGAAATGCTGGATATGAGCATTATGCATCATTATATCCAGCTAGCATGTGAAGCTTTAGGCTTCTTTTAACATGATTTTAGTTGTATCCTCATATTTCTTGCAAAGTTCAATAGCTCAAGCTAAATTTTGTAGACACAGGTAAAAGAGTCAGAACATTGGAGTTGATCTACCAAAGGCAATAGACTATGGGTTGGATTTTCTAAAAACAAATAGACTGTACACTTTATAAGTGCAGTTGCACTCTTTTTCCCCCAAAACTGTGGTACTGCTCTGCTAATTTCCATAATCCAATCACGTGCAAGCAATAATGCTGTTTCTTTTTATTTTCCTTGCACCTGATTGAGTATTCTTTGCAAAGTGAAGCTTCAACACATTTACTTAGCTCTGGGGAAAATGAGTGCAACTGCATAGGGGTTGATTCACTAACGGTAAATACTGCACGTGCATTTGCTTCAGACCTTAGAAAATGAGGTGAAGCTTCACTTGGCAAAAAATACGCAATCACATGCATGACATATAAAGAAAAATATTGCCTGCACATGATTGAATGATGGAAGCCAACAGAACTTCACATCATTCATTAAACTCTGGAGCAACTGCACTTGCAGAGGGTAGCTGTACTTGCATAGTGCTTATGTTTTGTTATGTATTTAATGTTTATTTGTTAAGCAAAAATTGTATACATATGGTGAGTAAACAAATAAAAAACAGTTTAAAATGTATAAAAAGAAAATTGATTAAACCATTATATTCTCCTCTTATGAAATAGAACCTATTTTTCATTGCTCGGGTTTAAGAATTGTATACCTTTAAGGAAATACATCTCTAAAATTTTATTTCTGTGAATAACAGAATCTTCTTATGGTGAACATATTTCCATTACCATGCTCATGTAGGAAAATTATAGTAAGATAAGGAAAATAAATTAGACAAAAAAAAATAATTTCAGAAATGTTCTCACTTTTAATGTGACCTATAAACTGTACAACTCAATTGAAAAACAAACTGAAATCTTTTTTTTTTTTTTTGGGGGGGGGGGGAGACAACATAAAAAACTAAAATAATGTGGTTGCATAAGTGTGACACCCTCTTATAACTGGGATTGTAGCTGTGTTCGGAATTAAGAAATCACATTCAAAATCATGTTAAATAGGAGTCAGTACACAGCTGCCATCATTTTAAGTGCCTCCAATTAACCCCAAATAAAGTTCAGCTGTTCTAGTAGGTCTTTCCTTACATTTTCTTAGTTGCATCCTACAGCAAAAGTCATGGTCCACAGAGAACTTCCAAAGCATCAGAGGGATCTCATTGTTAAAAGGTATGTCAGGAGAAGGGTATAAAAGAATTTCCAAGGCATTAGATATACCATGGAACACGGTGAAGACAGTCATCAGTAAGTGGAGAGAATATGGCGCAACACTGACATTACCAAGAACTGGACGTCCCTCTAAAATTGATGAAAAGACAAGTAGAAAACTGGTCTGGGAGAGTGCCAAGAGGCCTACAGCAACATTAAAGGAGCTGCAGGAATATCTAGCAAGTGCTGGCTCTGTGGTACATGTGGCAACAATCTCCCATATTCTTCAAATGTCTGGGCTATGGGGTAGAGTGGCAAGATGGAAGCTTTTCCTTAAGAAGAAAAACATCCAAGCCCGGATACATTTTGCAAAAACACATCTGAAGTCTCCCAAAAGCAAGTGGGAAAATGTGTTATGGCCTTATGAAACCAATGTTGAACTTTTTGCCCATAATTTCAAAAGATATGTTTGGCGCAAAAACAACACTGCACATCACCAAAAACACACTGGGGGGACTGGAGAAAGTACAGAGAAGGGTAACAAAACTGATACGAGGCATGGAGGAGCTCAGCTATGATGAAAGATTAGAGGAACTGAATTTATTTTCTCTTGAGAAGAGGAGATTAAGGGGGGATATGATCAAAATGTATAAATACATCAATGGTTCATATAGTAAACTCGGTGTAGAGTTATTCACCCTGAGGTCATCACAGAGGACAAGGGGGCACTCTTTACATCTGGAGGAAAAGAAATTTAATCACCAAACACGGAAAGGTTTCTTCAGAGTGAGAGCTGTGAAAATGTGGAATAGACTCCCCTCAAGAGTTGGTTCTGGCCAGCTCAGTGGATTGCTTTAAAAAAGGCCTGGATTCTTTCTTGGATACACAGAATATAACTGGATACCAACATTTATAGGTAAAGTTGATCCAGGGAATATCCGATTGCCTCTTGGGGGATCAGGAAGGAATTTTTTCTCCTGCAGGAGCAAATTGGATCATGCTTTGCTGGGTTTTTTTTTTTTACTTCCTCTGGATCAACTGTGGGTGTAGGATTATAACTTTTTTTTTTAATGGTTGAACTAGATGGACTTTTGTCTTTTTTCAGCCAGACTAACTATGTACCACCATACCCATAGTGAAGCATGGTGGGGCTGTGATCAATTATGTGTGGGGTGATATGAAGAGGGCTGTGCGAAGGAGATGCCCTCACAATCTGACAGATTTGGAGTGTTTTTGCAAGGAAGAGTGGGCAAATATTGGCAAGTCAAGATGTGCCATGCTGATAGACTCCTACTCAAAAAGAGTGCTATAATAAAATCAAAAGGTGCTTCAACAAAGTATTAGTTTAAGGGTGTGTACACTTATGCAACCATATTATTCTAGTTTTTTATTTTTACTTCCCTCCACCTAAAAGATTTCAGTTTGTTGTTCAACTGAGTTGTACAGTTTATAGGTTACATTAAAGGTGGCGAAAGTTCTGAAATTATTTATCTTTGTCTAATTTTTTTGCATCACAGAAACCTGACATTTTAACAGGGGTGTGTAGACTTTTTATATCCACTGTAGGTACAGCTGACTTTCTTGATCTGCACAGTCATGATGGGAGGGTCATGATACCTACCGAAAGACCCCTCTAATGTTTACCTAAAGATTTTAGCTTGACTGGAGTACAAATGCATAAATTATTTCCTCCACAATAGAGCTATTAATTATATTGGTAGCTGACCCAACTAAAGCAGGCCATAGATGAGACTATTTTCTTTACTGAAACCAAGGGTTTCAGGAGAGAAAATTGATTTAATGGAGCTGCAGTGTTCTCCCAGCGGGGGGGGGGGGGGGTGCTGGGAGCAGTCCCTGCCAAGAGAAAACAGTTATTATTGCTAGTAACCAGGGGCAGACTGACCATTTGGGCTCTCGGGCACTGCCCGAGGGCCCGGGATCTGCAGGGGGCCCCATGAGATGCCCTTGGTACCTTTCATAGGCATTTCATAGGCATTTTTGGGTGTGGGCTAGGACACAGGGGCCCCATGATCCCCTATTGCCCGGGGCCCCATGAGTTGTCAGTCCACCCCTGCTAGTAACTATAGCCACTGGCAATAATCGCATGCTGAAAATCCGATAAGCTGGTTGTACCCAAGTCGATTGATGGGTACAACCAGCTTTATAGCATACATTTAATTCAAACTTGCAGGATTGGGTAAGACATAATTCTATAAGACATCTCAAATTCTCAAACAGTATTCATTGAATCAAAGCTCAATTATAAATGACATTTGAAAAAAAATTATAATTTCTCAAAGCGAGCAGCAGACAAATGAAAAAAGATGCAAATTAATGCATTGTAAATACATTTATTTTCAATGTAAGCAGTGTATGTAGCTGGATTTTTCCTGGTATTAGCCTTCTAATGATAGCAAAAGAGAGCAAGGTGACAGAGAGATGGGTTCATCAGCTTTTCTTTCACTATCCAGTCCTTGCTGGGAGTGCCAAGACAACTTGTGTTTACTAAACTGCATCAGTGTAATCAACTTTCCTTCCTTGTCTTTCCTTCCCTGCCAGACAGAGTTTTGTAGTGTGGCAGAATGTGTAAATCACAGAATTTGATAGATATAAATCCAATTCAATGGCAAGTAAAACAGCCACCTTATATATATATCAACTTTGAATGTAGCTATTTGCCTGGAGATCAGATCTAAAAATGTTTTTTTATATTGTTATTATATTATCCCCAATAATATTTGTTTTTCACAGGTAATACAGGAGATAAGTGCAGTAGATAGAGATGAACCATCAAACGGCCATTGGTTTTACTTCACTTTACCTCCTGATGCAAATAATATTAATTTTACATTACAAGACAATAAAGGTAAGTGTAATATTGCATTACTGAAATAAAAATTTACTTATCTCTTTATATTGAAATACATTTAAAGAATTCCCATTGTAGAATTAGAATTCAAAAGCAGTAGAATTAAAAAGCACAAAGTTGTGAATCGGTAAGGCATAGTAATCTCTATGTAATTGAAAAGTATTATAGATGGTGCATGTGTCTGTGTGTGTATTTTGTGTGTAACCTTTCAAAGAAATGCATTCAATTACGTGGATAAAATAAGGTTAACTTTTAGTTTTCAAAAAACAATACTGTACTTTTTGTGAAAAAATTGAGATAACCATCTCTCAATAAACTCCTTAAGGAGATACTATCATCCATGTACTAATTTATCTTCGAAAGCAAAATCGACACACTCCAATGCTGCAGCTGTTGATGAAGTATGCCTCTACCAAGTAAGCCAGTAGGCAAATGATTTTTAAACAACTTAAAAGTAATCAATTATAAGCTAGTCAAACTTATAAGTGGTTGGCTAAAGCTAAAGATTTGGAAAACAAATGATAAAACAGCACAGTTATGAATTAATAATATTGTACTAATAACAAGTTGGATGAGTAAACTTTAATTTGATTAAAATGTTTATTTTAAAACAATTATTCTTTTTTTTTTATAGTTTTTTAAAAAAATTTTTTAACTGCATATGATTTTTACATATTTTCATCCTAATATTTGTCACTGCACCGAATACGATTCTCTCAAATTGTTAATGTACTACAGTTTACTGCTTGACATTGCTCTTCATTGGTTTATTAAAATAAGCCTACTGTTTGGGGGTGTGATGGAAGTATATGGATGGATGGAAGGGAAAGCAGACTCTTTCATATGCTAATTTTTTTTAGATCTGTCATGACATCAAGCATGGAAAAATGGGGCAGAGCTTAATAGGATGGGTGAGGGAATTACCTTGTACAAGGGACAAGGCTTAACATTGCCATTCAAAAAAAAATTAACACCTATAGAAATGAAATAAAAAAGGTCAGCCAGGTAATGTCTCTACAGAGTACAGAGCACCTTTGGCGCATATTGCATGTTGTAAGTAAAGTTAAGTAAAACCTAGAGCCGCTGAATGTGGCAGATGATAAGAGCTTTCTTTATCAATTTTATTTCTTTTAAAAAAATGCATTCCCAGGCTGCTGAGAATGACACTTAACAGTCAGTTTTCACATTACAGTGTGGACTGCAACAGAGGGTACTTTCTTTAAATACTGGAAATGAATGTTATGTTATTGAAATAAAACTTGTGCACTTTTCCTTTTTATGAAAAAAAGGTTGTACAAATAAAAAGATTTAATTTGGGCAAGAAAATGTACCGTAATTCAACAGCGAATCTGGAGGTGCCCTCATTTGGTAAATATACAAGCATCTCACATAATGGAATTAATATTAAAAACGCCTTTGAGATGTATGTATTAATAGGTGCACATGTAATCATTATTTATGTGATGTGGCTTTGCTCCAGTAGAATCTTCATTAGAATGACACACAAGGACACACTTTGGGTTTAGTTGCATGGAAAACTTTTCAAGACACAAAATAACTATGACAGCCTAAAATTATTCAATCAAAAAGTACAATACTATTTCTTTTAGTGTTCTTCATGCTGCTTTGCTAACCTCTCCGGCTCAGTCTTTTTTTCCTCTACAAACAGCGGCTTGCTCGGCCATATAATAAAGAAATGTCATGGTAACTGTTTTCAGTGCAACCACAGATCAACTGTAGTATATTACATCTTCAAGGACATCATTTTGAAAAAATTCATCACTCTTTCCTGCTTGTCAGTGCAATTTATTTTTCCTTTGCTTTAGCACTGTATACTATGTGTGTGCTTGTAGCCTTCTTTAATATTGAAAACATGCACATCATTTTTGAGTATTTATGACCATGTTATTACACTATTTTTGTTATGTATGTACATACATATGTAATTTGATGAGTTGTTTAACAAATGGAGAATCTGTTTATCTTTTTTATAGCAAAAAAGCACAACATTTACATTTATAGATATCTACATTTGAGTTGCAGTTTTCATAAGACATGAGTACATATTTCTTTTTCTTGTACTGTAGACGGTTTGATTAATTCTGGCATTGCCAAAGGGTAATACATTGCTGACAAAAAGTGAGAAATCAAAAGTAATGCTAAATTGCCTGTCCCTCCTCACTATAGCTGTTGATTGAAGATCGGTAGTGTGACATTTGCTTGACTTTGTATCATGTCTAGATTTTGACAGCAACTCTAATGCCTAACAATAAAATATGTTTGGATACAGTATATATATATATATATATATATATATATATATATATATTATGTACACTGTACAAATTATGTTTACTTTAGACTTTAATCTAATATGTATGTTAAAATCATCAAAACTGCATTTAACAATTTTTCCTCCTCCTTATATGTATATTTTAATTTAATTCAGAATATATATAAAAATGTATTATTAGAGGAAGTAAAACACTCCAGCTGGGAACTTATTTTTCTAGCCAAACAAGCAAATGTTCCCTCAATCTACACATTTCATCCACAAGTTGGGGCTTAATTGTAGAGGTGAAGAGAAGCAGACAAGGGGATATACATATAACATATATATAACAACTAGGGTGAGGGTTATAAATACCTGCTAAAAACATTTGTTGAAAATAGTAATTATACTTAAAAATTAAGAACAAAATATTAAAATTATATAAAAAGGAATAAAAAGGGAAAAGGGAGTGGATGGGGAAGAGTGAAAGGAGGAAAGAAGATAAGGAAGAGAAGTGGGAGGGAATAGGGAAGAAGGGGGATGGGGACTCTTTGCTTGTTTGTCCAGAACAATATATCTGGCAGAGTCTGAAGTTTCTTGGAGTACAGCAGACTTCTTTTTTTTCCTGAATTCACTTGATTTAAAGGGCACGCGATGAGCCTCTATCAGCGTTTAGCACCCAGATCTTAGGAGGGCAATCAAAGGCTTTGGAACAGTACACTGCATTTTCATGTAGAAAAAAAAAAAAAAAAAAAATAAAAAAAAAAAATATATATATATATACACACACATGGGGCAAGGCATACTTGCAGGAATTTTGATACAGCGTTTAAATCATTCCCCCATACATTTGAAAATATCATAGTTAGAGATGAGAAATCCACTAGGAAATCTGTCCAATCCATTTAAACAATCTTTTTTAACATGTTTGAGACCACCAATCTGCTTCTAGGTTTCTGAATTAACAACAAAATGTGTTAAAATAATCAATAATCGTATTTATTTTTTTATTTATTCATAAAGAAAGAAAAATCACTAATAATCATACAAACAAATCTGAATTTGAAACATTTGAAAAATAGGATGAAGGTTCCACTGCTTGTCTCCCACATGTAATAGTAGAGGGACTGTGGCATTTGAAGTCCTCAGAGATCTTTGTATGTAGGGCAACGCATTTCATGGGATGGCCCACTTCCTCAGAACATTAGATCTCAGAGATATAGATACAATAATCACTTGCACAGTCAAGATTCAATAGCACACAAAATTAAACATTTTATTTGAGACTCATTGGAAAGCCTTGTCCTGGTATGGTTTTCCGGCCCATAGGAAGACCACCACCAGGGAGATATGGATAACTTAAATGGCAGAGAAGTGTTAGATATATAAGGAAAATATCAGAGGCGGACTGACCATTTGGAAACTCGGGCACTGCCCGAGGGCCCGGGTCAGTAGGGGGCCCCATGAGATGCCCCTGGTAACTTTTTCATAGGCTTTTTTGAGTTTGGGCAAGGACACAGGGGCCCCATGATCCCCTATTGCCGGGGGCCCCATGAGTTCTCAGTCCACCCCTGGATAATATAAATCCTATATGTCCTCGCTTCCAGTGAGAAATTGTGGGGAACAGGATGTCAACCCCATGTAAGCATGAGGGCTGGTTACACACATTGCATGGTCCCAATAAATGGGTGTCCAAATATATTAATATATTTTTATTATATAATTATAACACACAATACCACACTTATATTAAAGTTGGCCATAGACAAATCAAAATTAATTTGGCACCCTTCAGCAGGGACTGACTGAATTTTGATCAGTGTGTGGCTGCCTCTGTCCGACAGAAGTATTTTGTCAAATTGACTTTTGTCAAATGGGCAAGTTGGAAAAAAACTGTTGTCGATCACTGCCTGCAGTCAACAGGCTGGATTTACCTAATACCACAGCCATAAAAAACTGGTACCTGAAAATCTAACAATAACAGTGCACCATCTATTACAGTAGCATATCACAAAAGGATAACCACCAACTGGATGATTTCTACAGGTAGGTGCACATGATCCACCAACTTCAGATAGTTCAAATAATTCAAAGCCTCTTTCGCTCTACTGGAATGCCAAAACATGGTTTCCCACCATTATCCTATAGCATAATTCTCTTTGCATGTGGAAGTGACTTTCTGTGAACGTCTCTCCTTTGTATTGCTACAGGTGTGATTTCTATATTGCCCACACCTGTTACTTGCCCCTGGTGAGCTTACTCATCATGCTTGTAACAGTGGAGGGTGACCAATACTTTTGCCAGAAGGGGCTTGGGGAACTTTAACCACTTAAGAGCAAAACATAACCCCCAGACCAGATATACTGCTACAGGACGGCTCCGATGCCCCAAATCATGCAAACATACGTTATTTCGCTTTTCCAGGTAGGGGGCATGTGTGCTGGTATTGTCTGCTGGACATGTCAATTACAGAGTCCGCCGGCCGGGACTCGGCAATCGCCAGCAGGGCTAGAAGTGTAAACAACACAGATCTCTCTCCTGTCAGCATGGGCACGCTACTTTGTATTTCTCTGCACCACCTCACTACCCCCACCCCACTCCCAGCATGTCTCCCAAGTAAAAACACAACACAGCACACATAGTAAAACACACACAGCACACTGTTAACCCTTTGATCACCCCAGATGAACCCCTTCCTGTCCAGTGTCATTACTACAGTGTCAGC